AGAAAGAACAGCAAATAAGCCTAAACCCAGCAGGAGAAGAGAAATAATACATATCAGAATGGAAATCAATGAACTAGAAACCAAAAGAACAGTAGAACAGATCAGTGAAACTAGGAGCTGGTTCTTTGAAAGAATTAATAAGATTGATAAACCCCTGGCCAGACTTATCAAAAAGAAAAGAGAAATGACCCAAATAAATAAAATCATGAATGAGAGATCACAACCAACACCAACGAAATATAAACAATTTTAAGAACATATCATGAGCAACTATATGCCAGCAAATTAGATAATGTGGAAGAAATGGATGCATTCCTAGATATGTATAAACTACCAACACTGAACCAGGAAGAAATAGAAAACCTGAACCGACTATAACTACTAAGGAAATTAAAGCAGTCATCAAAAATCTCTCAACAAACAAGAGCCCGGGGCCAGAAGGCTTACCAGAGGAATTCTACCAAACATTTAAAGAATTAATACCTATTCTTCTGAAACTGTTCCAAAAAACAGAAATGGAAGGAAAACTTCCAAACTCGTTTTATGAGGCCAGCATTACCCTGATCCCAAAACCAGACAAAGATCCCATCAAAAAGGAGAATTACAGACCAATATCCTTGATGAACATGGATGCAAAAATTCTCACCAAAATAGTAGCCAACAGGATCCAACAGTACATTAAAAGGATTATTCACCATGACCAAGTGGGATATATCCCTGGGCTGCAAGCCTGGTTCAACATCCACAAATCAGTCAATGTGATACAATACATTAATAAAAGAAAGAACAAGAACCATGGGATCCTCTCAAAAGATGCAGATAAAGCATTTGACAAAGTACAGCATCCTTTCTTGATCAAAACTCTTCAAAGTATAGGGATAGAGGGTATATACCTCAATATCATAAAAGCCATCTATGAAAAACCCACAGCGAATATCATTCTCAATGGGGAAAAACTGAGAGCTTTTCCCCTAAGGTCAGGAACACGGCAGGGATGTCCACTATCACCACTGCTATTCAACATAGTATTAGAAGTCCTAGCCACAGCAATCAAACAACAGAAAGAAATAAAAGGCATCCAAATCGGCAAAGAAGAAGTCAAATTCTCACTCTTTGCAGATGATATGATACTTTATGTGGAAAACCCAAAAGACTCCACCCCAAAACTGCTAGAACTCATACACGAATTCAGTAAAGTGGCAGGATATAAAATCAATGCCCAGAAATCAGTGGCATTCCTATACACCAACAATAAGACGGAAGAAGGAGAAATGAAGGAGTCGATCCCATTTACAATTGCACCCAAAACCTTAAGATACCTAGGAATAAATCTAACCAAAGAGGCAAAGGATCTGTACTCAGAAAACTGTAAAATACTCATGAAAGAAATTGAGGAAGACACACAAAAAATGGAAAAACGTTCCATGCTCACGGATTGGAAGAATATTGTGAAGATGTCAATGCTACCTAGAGCAATCTACACATTCAATGCAATCCCCGTCAAAATACCATCCACTTTTTTCAAAGAAATGGAACAAATAATCCTAAAATTTGTATGGAACCAGAAAAGACCCTGAAGAGCCAGAGGAATGTTGAAAAAGCAAAGCCGGTGGCATTACAATTCCAGACTTCAAGCTCTATTACAAAGCTGTCATCATCAAGACAGTATGGTACTGGCACAAAAACAGACACATAGATCAATGGAACAGAATCGAGAGCCCAGAAACGCACCCTCAATTCTATGGTCAACTAATCTTCAACAAAGCAGGAAAGAATGTCCAATGGAAAAAAGTCTCTTCAACCAATGGTGTTGGGAAAACTGGACAGCCACATGCAGAAGGATGAAACTGGACCATTTCCTTACACCACACACAAAAATAGACTCCAAATGGTTGAAAGACCTAAATGTGAAACAGGAGTCCATCAAAATCCTAAAGGAGAACACAGGCAGTAACCTCTTCAACCTCAGCCGCAGCAACTTCTTCCTAGAAACATCGCCAAAGGCAAGGGAAGCAAGGACAAAAATGAACTATTGGGACTTCATCAAGATAAAAATGTTTTGCACAGCAAAAGAAACAGTCAACAAAACCAAAAGACAACCGACAGAATGGGAGAAGATATTTGCAAATGACATAGCAGATAAAGGGCTAGTATCCAAAATCTATAAAGAACTTATCAAACTCAACACCCAAAGAACAAATGATCCAATCAAGAAATGGGCAGACGACATAAACAGACATTTCTGCAAAGAAGACATCCAAATGGCCAACAGACACAGGAAAAAGTGCTCAACATCGCTCGGCATCAGGGAAATCCAAATCAAAACCTCAATGAGATATCACCTCACACCAGTCAGAATGGCTAAAATTAACAAGTCAGGAAACGACAGATGTTGGCGGGGATGTGGAGAAAGGGGAACCCTCCTACACTGTTGGTGGGAATGCAAGCTGGTGCAACCACTCTGGAAAACAGTATGGAGGTTCCTCAAAAAGTTGAAGATAGAGCTACCCTAAGACCCAGCAATTGCACTACTGGGTATTTACCCCAAAGATACAAATGTAGTGATCCGAAGGGGTACGTGCACCCCGATATTTATAGCAGCAATGTCCACAATAGCCAAACTATGGAAAGAGCCAAGATGTCCATTGACAGATGAATGGGTAAAGAAGATGTGGTGTGTACACACACACACACACACACACACACACACACACACACACACACACACAGTGGAATATTATGCAGCCATCAAAAGGAATGAAATCTTGCCATTTGTAATGACATGGATGGAACTGGAGGGTATTATGCTGAGAGAAATAAGTCAATCAGAGAAAGACATGTGTCATATGATCTCACTGATATGAGGAATTCTTAATCTCAGGAAAGAAACTGAGAGTTGCTGGAGTGGCGGGGGGTGGGAGGGATGGGGTGCCTGGGTGATAGACATGGGGGAGGGTATGTGCTATGGTGAGCGCTGTGAATTGTGTAGGACTGTTGAATCACAGACCTGTACCTCTGAAACAAATAATATATTATATGTTAAAAAAAAGAAGATAGTAGGAAGGGAAAAATGAAGGAGGGGGAATCGGAGGGAGAGATGAACCATGAGAGACTATGGACTCTGAGAAACAAATGGGGTTCTAGAGGGGAGGGGGGAGGGGGGATGGGTTAGCCTGGTGATGGGTATTAAAGAGGGCACGTACTGCATGGAGCACTGGGTGTTATACGCAAAGAATGAATCATGGAACACTACGTCAAAAACTAATGATGTAATGTATGGTGGTTAACATAACATAATAAAATAAAATTTGAAAAAAATCAGAGAAAATTCTCCCTCTGCATGCTTATAGCATTTCACCTCTATGTTGCTATTAGGGTCCACTGAACCCTTTTATTTTATAAGACTTTATTTGAGAGACAGAGTGAGGGAGTGAGCATGCATGGGGGGGAGGGGCAGAGGGAGATGGAGAAACAGACTTCCCACTGAGCAGGGAGCTCAACATGGGGCTCGATCCCAGGACCCCGAGATCACGACCTAAGCCGAAGGCAGACACTTCACCGACTCAGCCACCTAGGTGCCCCAACACTGAACACTTTTAATTATGAATCATCTTCCACATGCATTCTGATATTCTGGCTTCTCAATGGTTCAGCTCAGCCTAAGGGAGGCCCAATTAAACATGTCTGAATGAAAACGGACATTCAAAGCGGGTTCCTCAATCCTTTTTTTTTTTTTTTTTTAAGTAACCTTTATAGCTAATGTGGGGCTTGAACTCATGACCCCGAGATCAGGAGTGACACGCTCCATGGCCTGAGCCAGACAGGCGTCCCTACGTTCTTTAATCTTTAATGTATGTTAAGAAGGGATAGAAGTTATTTAAGTGTAAGATATAACAAAAAAAAAATTAAACAAGGCCAAAGAAGACTGTTTTTTTCTTTAGGTAAGATAACCTTTTGAGGCATCAGAATAGATCTGTTTCATTAAAAGCAAAGAGGAACCTATCCCTGCGTCCTTTACACACTCACTTTGACTTCCCACCCTCAGACTGCTCAGGCATGGATGTTGGCTTTTGTGATTTTCCTTAGTTTAGGATAACTATTGCACGGATTCATTCATTTTCCCCTCTCTGTCATACACACACACACAGCTAAGTTCTAGCTCACAGGCCTTCAGGAAACCCTGAGGGATCCCAGTCTGCCTGTGGGTCTCGGTGCCTGGCACGGAGCTGAGGTCGACATTCGCTGTAGTGAAGGTGGAATGCTCCTACTGGGCCGTGCCGTCAGCAAGCACCAATGTGTGCGACAAAATACACGCGGGGGCTTGATTTCTAGGAAGAACATCTAATTTCTTCCTCTCAGATACTCACGTTTTAGTCTTACGTGAGTAGCTATCCTCAGCCTTATGCAAGAGTGTCCGTTCAGGCTGAACAGGAAGTAATTACGCTCTGGTGTGAGGGGGAGCACACAGCCTGTACCAGAAGTCCCCCCTTCTCACGGCACTTGCAGATCCCATTATGCAAGCTCCAGGGGAGGACATGCTCCCTTGGATTACAGCCACGGCCACCATGAAGGAAACCGTGCTCTCAGACTTGAAGCATTTGCATGATTTCCGACAGGGAAGGCCAATCACCTCAAGTACATCTATCTGACTCTAAGTGACTGGATTACGGAGCAGCAGGAAATTCAGTTAAGGCTGAATCTAGGCTTAGGAAAAGAGAGTCCTGTGATTGATTAGTGATGCCTGCAAGGGGCACAGTACAGAGAGTGGTGTTATGCAAGCCAAATATACTGTCTTTGATCTAGGAACGATTTCAGGGAGGAGCCTGTTATTAGTAACGTGGTGGTTCAGAGCCTGAGTGCAAGCACATGCCTTTATCTGTGTCCTCCCTCCTGTGGGCCCAACACTTAGTCTCTGTTCATAATATGAATGACTGAAAAGCAGTCACACGTCATCCATCTGAGGTGTATAACATTAGTCACCTTCTCCCACTTCCAGGTACCTTAATGATGCTCTGGCAGGTGGACAGAGGCAAGCCCACCAGGCTGGTGCCGTTTATGGACATGATCTGGTCCCCGATGTTCAGCTTCCCTGATTTCTCGGCAGGCCCTCCGTGCATCATGTTGGCTATGATCACGGTTGGCAAGATGGATCCCCAGCCAGACTCCACGATGACCACACCTAGGATTTCTCCTTTCTGCTTCTCTATGAAGACCTAAAAGGAAAACACAAAACCAAAAACCTGAATCAGCAACCACCCAGGGTAGGGGCACAAATCAAAGCTTCCCCCCAGCTTCCTGTCTTGACTACAGGAGAAAGGCATTTCCTTGATGGTTCTGACCCAGACAAGTCCTGTCTTCTCTCGATTCCATGGCATTTGGTAAGAAATGATGTAACACAGGTTCGTACAATTTCTTGTAAAGCTTACTCCACATGAGCAATCTTGCCTTGGCCAGATGAACACAAAGGGCACCAGGTGCTTTTTTCCTGTAGTCCTCGGGGAGCAGGAAGAGGGGCTGTGTGGGTGGGGACGTCGGTGGTGTATTACGGTTTCCAGAAATAGCTTTTGGATTTTATGCACAGGCTGCCCCATTCCACAGAGCTTCACAAATTCCCTCCCACATTTAAGATTCTTGAGTTAAAAATAAACAAATAGACATTACAGAAACATTTCTTTGCAAGCAGCAAGCTGAAGAGAAAGGAAAAGAAAAAGGGATGCTAAGGTTATCACAACCAAAAGGTTGGAAGCGCACGGAGGAAGACCATATTCTAGGCAGGCGTAATTTTGTGTGGCCTTCCTTGGCAGGGCAGAGAAGACAGGGGTCAGGTTTGGATACCTGCAGTCGGTGAAGGTTTGCAGAGACACTACAAAGGGGCAAGACACTTTCTGGAAGGCTCTGACAAAGAGCGTATCATTTATCTATTCGCAGTCACGGATACACATAGGCTCGAACACACGCCGTCGTTGCGGCTGCTGGGCCCTGACAAAGCCCCTCACAGGCTGGCGTCCCTCCTCTTGGCCGATGAAGCTCGCAGCCGGCCGCTTCTCTGGAGAGCTTCCCAATGGGAGACACTCCCTATGATGGGTTGTTGTGTTCCCCTCGAAATTCGTTATGTTGGAGGCCAAACTGCCAGGACCTCAGAATATGACCTGATTTGGATACAGAGTCTTTGCAGAGGCAATCAAGTTAAAATGAGGTCTTTAGGGTGGGCCCTGATTCAGGATGACTGGTGTCCTCACGGGAAGGGGAGGTATGGACGCAGACACACACAAGCACAGAAGGGAGACAATGCGAAGACACAGGGGGGAAGACCGTTCTCTCCGAGCCAGGGGGAGGGGATTGGAACACACCCTTGCCCCTCAGCCCTCAGAAGGAACCGACCCTGTGGACACCTTGATCTTGGACTTCAAGCCTCTAGAACAGTGAGACAGTATGTTTTTTGTTGTGAAGCGGCCCGGTCTGCTGTACTCTGCTAAGGTGGCCTGAGCGCACCGAGACACCCCAGTCTGATCTTGGTGTCAGTGACTGACTGCCTGCCAAACCCTCTGACCCGAGGTGGGACAAGCCTGGCCTGCGATCTGTGACCCAGAGCCTCCTCTGGATCAGAATGAAGCTCATCTTTGGCAAGGCCACGTTCCTCCTCAGCATCCCCGCCACCCTGCTGCCCACACTCCCTTTTTCCTGAGGGCACTCTCCCCAAAACCCCTTCAACAAGAGTCCCCGTCTCAGGCTCTGCTTCTAGGGAACAGAGGACACCTAACCTACATCACCAAAGAAAAAGATCGCTTTCTCATCAAGGTACTTTTGTCTACTGGATAAAGCCCAAGCCCCTCAGCTAGACTTTCAAGGCCCCCAGTTCTGACCTGAACCCCGTGGGGGCCTCTACGCCCTCTTCCACCCCCCCCACCCCGGTGCTCCAGCCGGGCTGTCTCCTCCATGGCTCCCCACACAATCCCTGAGCTTTCTGACCTTCCCGCTTCTGTTACTTTGGCCCAGCCCTCTCAAATCCTTCACGCTTTCCGAAGAACACCCATACCTCCAGACCAGCTCAGATGGCTAGCTCTCCTCCAAAGCTCTGTCTGAACCTGCGGGGCCGCCCCCTGCACAGCATCTATCACCCGAGGCCCGACCCCTGCTCTCTTCTGTCGCGCACAGTGGTCTCTGGCTAGTGCTTGTGTCCAGCACCATCACTTACCTTCTCTGTGCCCTTTCCTAGATGGTGGGCTTGGTAAGGGCGGGGTTCAGGTCCTGTTCACCTCTGGAACCCACCCCAAACTTAGCTTAGGACTGCCAGGAGCAGGGGATGCCCCACCGTGGGGATGGCCCTCCACGGTGGTCTTTAATGACAGGGCGTTATGAGAGGGGAGCCGGAGATGGGCCCGAGCCCTCAGCAACATCCTGCCAACTACACTCCCCCCTGCCCCTCTCACCCCCAAACTGTTCCACCTTCCTTCCACAGCAGGGCCGCCCCACACTCCCGGGCCTTCTGCCCGGCTGGCTGAGCTCAGAGAAGTACCTACATCTTTGCAGTTTTCCGACTTGGAGAAGTGGATCAGGTCATCGTTGTACATGTCCTGGGTGTTGAGCAGGTCACTATACTCCTTCTGGCTGAGATCTTCAGGGTTGATCCCGTTAGCTCTGAGGAATTCCTGGTATGCCACGCTGAATGCCTGCCCAATGGACTGTGCGATCAGCTGGGCCTAGACAGTAGCCAGAGGGGGAAGACACAGGTCAACGGGGCAGCCGGACTGGGAGCCCCAGGCGTCAGCTGGGCCAGTGGGTCTACACATGGCACAAATCCCCGCCAGAGCCCATGCTCAGAATTACTAGGGACATGTTTCATTAGGACAATGACTGCAAGGCGGCTCTTGGCATTCAGGGGACAGGAGCCAGAGATGCTGGACTTACGGCCATGGGAAGGACCGTCCTACACAATGATGAGCCATCCTACATCCCGAACGATTCTCAAATGTCCCCTGGATGCTCATATGCATGTAACACCAGGAGCAAACCATTTGAGGCCGGGACTCAACTTCAATTTATATAAAACACAAAGGCATTAATCGCCTGGCTCTAATTCACATGGAACGCTCCAAGAATACAGTTGCTGTGTGAAGTGAGAGAAGATGATTGGCTTTGTCCAGCACTTTACCAGAAATAAGCTTCGTGACTTTGGAAAATCATTAGCATCAATGCTGTTCACGATATCTGGGTGGCCAGCAAATCACGGTGCCATCAGCCCGCATGTTTGCCGCACAGCGAGGGGATCCTACAGGAGTATGTAGTCTAGAGATTGATTTTCTTACTGAGCTCTCAATTCAAAATGTCAAACAGAAGTGTTTACGATAGTCAGCGAAATACCATGTTCTCACATCGAAGCCTATTACTCAAGTAGGTGTAAGCATCTGATGGCTCCACTATTCCTTCCGGAGAGCTGGGCCCAAGCACTTGTATACTGTAGGAAGGACAACTTTATTTTAGCTTTGCTTTCATTTTTTTCTCTGTTGTTACATTTATGGCAATACTTCTGCTTGTGAACAAATTTTCAAAACGGGAAGTTATATTATCTATGACTTTTATCTCAGGACAGTCATGGGGCATCACATCTGTTGTACAAAGGGGGTTTGGGCCCCCGTGGGAGCCCTGCTTGAGTCCAGCCCCACATTTTCCAGGTGAGGAGACTGAGGCCCAGTGACGAAGGAACCTGCTCAAGGTCACACAGCTCAAAGGGCAGGAACGCTGCCTCCGTGGTTCCTTCTCCGGCACTGGGCTTTGACAGCGCCTTCCCACACTAAGTCATCCAGGCCATGGGTTCGGCCAGCCAGCAGCCACTGGGCACTTCTCACGTGTCCGTGCTGCGTTAAAAGCTATCCGAGGACCGCTCGGATCTGGACATCAAGCCTACGACTGACTGAAGCAGGACGGAGCCACAGGCCCTCATCCTAAGCTCTTGAGGCCATGTTACAGAATCTAGAAATTTCTGTGTATCACAGAGGTAAAAGCTGCATCTGTCATACATTGCCTAAAAACCCCACTAGAACCTGGGGAAGTGTCCTACAAACAATCAGTAATATTCCGGCAGCACAACGTGTAAGACTCATGGTAAGCTGAACAAATCCTATAAACTGTCTCGTGGCAGTTCAGGCAGGTTTATCAGCTGACTACAAAAATCCCTTTTGCTTCTCGGAGCTCTTCCCCCCCCTCCCCTAAGATTTGTTTTTAGAGAGAGAGAGAGAAAGAGAGCGCATGTGTGGGGAGGGGCAGAGGAGGGGGAGAGAGAGAATCTCGGCTCGGAGCCCGACGCAGGGCTGGATCCCACAACCTGCGGCGAAATCAAGAGTGGGCCGTTTACCCCACGGAGCCACGCAGGCGCCCCTCTCAGAGCTCTTTAGACTGCGGAACAGGAGGTATGTTATATCGTCCCCACTGCACAGGCAGGGAACAGAGCATGACAGTTAAGGTGTTCACTCCCTGGGAAGGGGGTGACGCGGGGGCTGAATCCTGGCAGATGGATTCCAGAGCCCACCCTCGCACCCACCACGTGGGACTGCCTCTCCGTAGAAAAACAAAATCTGCAGAGCAATGTTATAAACACACACACGCAATTCTAACCACCTCCTCTTCTCGCCTGCACGGAGTTTGGCTAAACGCCCCTAAGTGACGATGAAATCAGAACTGCTCCGTGGCCGTGCCGAACTTTTCTCAACACCACAAGCCACAAGGACGCACCGCCCTGCGACCTAAGAGGGGAAGGGCATGAGCGGCGCGCGCCCAGAGCATGTGAGGGGGCCGCCGAGAGGACGGGGGCGCACACCGGGAGCACGGGGGGGGGGGGGGTGCGCCCGGGGGGGGGGGGCGGCGCCCGGGGTACGGGGGGGGGGC